TCGTTAAAAATCTCTAAAAAATCGCTAAAAAACTCCCAAGTATCATATTCAGAAGTAAGGGGTCTTACATTTCACCTAAATTTGCAGAAAAGTTTTAAATGTATGAAAAGGTAAATAGCTATAAAGTAATTTAGCTCTTACAGTATCGATTCAATTACAGAAGTAACTTTAAACAAAATATTAAACTATCATCAAACTTTAAAATAACCTAAACTAGTTTGAAAAACCTCAGGTCAATTTTATATCAAACATCCCAATGCAGAGATTCTATGTTACAAAATATTCTCCATTGAAAAAACTCTAGTATACAAAAATAATTTAAATACAATATTTTGTATGAAATATGACAAATATATTACATTACATACAAACGAAATATAAATACGAGTACATAGCAAGCACACATTCCATTCGCAATCGAATATCTTAATTGGAGGAAAAGTAAATAACAGTGGTAATAAAAATTAACTAAATAGTAACTACAGAAGCATATCTTAAATTTGAAAACCTGGAAATATCATATACATTTAGAATACAAGTCAGAATAACTGACAATATGAGATTTCGAGTAAATTTTGGAGCTCACATGTTGTAAAAATCGGATGAATGACGTTTCAAACTATTTTAAACTATTTTATAGTAGTTTACGCAACAATTGCGTAAAGATAGTGTTAACGACACGAGTAGAAAATTTAAGGTAAGAGTCTTGACGAATTCCTTAAAAACGTCTAAGAGTGTCGTTAACACTATTTACGCCAGTTACGTACACTACTTTACCTACTACAGTTTTTAATTACAAAAAATCAATACTCATAACCTCTAAGAGAGGTTATGTTTTCGTTTATAATCTCTCATTGCCACTGACAGTGATGCAACGAAACATTGTACCAAACATTAATTACACCACTCAACAATTAAATTGGTCTGAACAGCTGATTAGTTTTAAGTTCGATTTATTACAATTTTACTTCTTCCCTCTCAATCCTTGAACCTCATTGGTCCGTTACCCATGTTGTTATGAGCAAAACTATGCTGTTATGAAAGTAAAAAGCTGTTATGTGAAACTTTTCAATTCTAATCACTGAAACGGTTATTTAAAAAAAAAAAAAAAAAAAAAACGGTCGTAGGTAAAACCTCTAACCGTGATTAGGAAATCATCACAAAGTTTTAATTTGTTATCACGTCCCAAAATGAAGCAAATAAATTAACAAATGAAATAGGTTTTTCAAAATCAAGTTTTTTATCAGTTTTATTTTTTTTTTAGAGACAAATTACGTCATAAGACTTTGTCCACTATAAACTACCATTTCATTTACAATTTTCTGACTACCTCTTCACCTTATAAACGCACAAATGTACAACTATGTGCAGTAGTTTGATGTGTAGTAGAAGACGCAGGGAAGACTTGAGTCGACAACCTAGACCCATAGAAACCAACTTGTGACTTAGAAAAACACAAGTTCGGATCTACGGGTTGAGGCTATCGTCTCGAGACGGTGCATCGAGTCGAAACTGGATCTTCCTTATACATATAATACAGTGGAACCTCGATAAGAAGACTCTCGATAAAAAGTGTAATTTTAAATCCCCTTGAAATCATTTTACCCCAAATCACACGTTATTGCAAACCTCAATAAAGAGCCAAGCTTGATAACAAGTCTCATTTAATAATCTCCATGAGAGTCTTGTTATCGAGGTTCCTATACAGTAATCTAACCCGTAGCCTTGTAAATTAATAAATACAACATGTAATTACATAAAATTATTGGATGTTTATGTATACCAATAGAGTAGTTTAGAATGAATATGAACTTAAAATGAGTCGCTGACAGCGCTCAAAATTACTGATTTATTTTTAATACTCTTTTTAACCAAATCTACTTGATTGGCCGACTTGTTGTAAGCATCTTTAAGTCTAAAAAGAAAATTTTTTTTTTTTGCTCTGTGAGTCATTTAACGTATGTTTTTATAAAATAAAAATAAAACTAGTTGGTTCAATTACATGGAATGTCTACCTCAGTATACAAATTCAATGCTAAAATTTATTATTATTTTTTTAAGATGTCATTACTTGTTTTTTTTTTCAGATTAAGTCAGTGTTCAAGAGTTTCTGAAATGTGGCTTTAATCGTTTACATACTGATGATAGGTCTATTCCAAAATACAGTCGTGTAGTCTAATTAGGTATCATTTTTCCTGTTATACGTTTTGTAATACAGTATTTCATTTAGAAATAAGGAGATATTTTATTTTATTTTACGATAAATTAAATGCATATAAATCATAACCCACGATACAATCAAAGACACCAAACCACAGCTTAGGATACAATTTAATATACAAAACCATGTATCAGTAACAATAAACAAAACCATAGCCTAAGATACGAATACAATAAAATAAACAAAACCATAGCGTAGATTACTGTAAAGGTATCCAAACAGATGACTTTAGGATTCAATGGAGACTTTAAATACTTGTAACTGTTAAAATAATTACCTAATACATCTAAGCACCATTATAATTTTACATTGGCTAGTTTGAGAGCAACAAATTGATCGAAAATCATGTGATGTTTAGCAATAACTTGAACACAGCGGAAATTTATGTAGTACCAAACCTCACAGCATTTGCTTAGAATAGAACAATATTCCTAAACGTATATTGTAACTAATACAGAAGTGGAATTAGAATACAATTGTAGTATAATTTATTTCCAATAAATAATATAGTTTGATAAAATCGACGGTGTAATCTTAGAATAACCAAATAAACCATCTAAATATTGGATTAAGAAAATTCCAAGTAGACTTCTAGACTCAAATACTTTGAGAGAATTCAAGAAATAACTATACATTTTATGTATTAGCCTGGTCAGATGAGGCCAAACCTTTTTCAAGATTAAAGGATTTTTCATAGTGGCCCAACTTAATATAGTTGTAAAAGATTTTACAATATAAGTTTATCAAGTAGAGTAAGTTTAAATGTCCTAAAACATGTTTAAATACTTACAAGTGCCTGTAGAACTTGATATCTTTAACATTTCTTTTAACTATAACACATTCATCCGTTTAAGATTGCAATCTTATAAACGCTCAAAATGCAGAGGTCGTTCGCACTAGGTAAATCAAAGAATAAATAACTGGACTGAATAGACAGAAGGTATAAATAACCACAAACAGCAAAGATATTTGGCAAAATGCTCGGGAACAGACCCAACTCGCGTTATACCACAAGGGGAACAAACTACAATGTGGCTAGGTAGAGGTGGTGGATCTCAACGTTAACCTAGGACTACACAGAGGGGAACAAACTACAATGTGGCTAGGTAGAGGTGGTGGATCTCAACGTTAACCTAGGACTACACAGAGGGGAACAACCTACAATGTGGCTAGGTAGAGTTGTGGATCTCAACGTTAACCTAGGACTACACAGGAGGGAACAAACTACAATGTGGTTAGGTAGAGGTGGTGGATCTCAACGTTAACCTAGGACTACACAGAGGGGAACAACCTACAATGTGGCTAGGTAGAGGTGGTGGATCTCAACGTTAACCTAGGACTACACAGGAGGGAACAAACTACAATGTGGCTAGGTAGAGGTGGTGGATCTCAACGTTAACCTAGGACTACACAGAGGGGAACAACCTACAATGTGGCTAGGTAGAGGTGGTGGATCTCAACGTTAACCTAGGACTACACAGAGGGGAACAACCTACAATGTGGCTAGGTAGAGTTGTGGATCTCAACGTTAACCTAGGACTACACAGAGGGGAACAACCTACAATGTGGCTAGGTAGAGGTGGTGGATCTCAACGTTAACCTAGGACTACACAGAGGGAACAAACTACAATGTGGCTAGGTAGAGGTGGTGGATCTCAACGTTAACCTAGGACTACACAGGAGGGAACAAACTACAATGTGGCTAGGTAGAGGTGGTGGATCTCAACGTTAAGCTAGGTCTACACAGGGGGGAACAAACTACAATGTGGCTAGGTAGAGGTGGTGGATCTCAACGTTAACCTAGGACTACACAGAGGGGAACAAACTACAATGTGGCTTGGTAGATGTGGTGGATCTCAACGTTAACCTAGGACTACACAGAGGGGAACAAACTACAATGTGGCTAGGTAGAGTTGTGGGGATTTCCTTAAATAAGTGAACCAGTGGACTTTTTAAAGGCCAAGCTACAATGTTTTGACAAAACCATCTCAAACTTACAAAAATATACAACAATTTAGCACAAAAGCGTTTGACAATTAGAAGACTTGTAAATCACACGATGAAAGAAAAGAACCCCATAAGTTTAATCTCTTACTAAGATTGCATAAACCATACACCTTATCGAATCTTACAAAGATGCAGCGGAGAGATGTTAATGTTTAAATTATCCAGAAACATATGACAAATTGGTATAAAATTTACCTATGTAGCCTAACAAATTTTGTTATTTAATACAATGTTTATTAAGGGACATAAACATTCGATCTTTGCCATTTTAAACTAATAACATACAATTGACGCATTGACGACCCTTTCATAAACGATATAGCCTCCTTCATGTCAAATATCCTTGACATTATCCTTACAACTACTTCACTTAGTATGTATTTTTAGACACCAATTCCTAAAGTGCTACTTCACTTATTAATAAGCAATGTCCTGGATTATTTTTACACAATTTTTAAAGCAATTTTGAAACATTCAATCGTTCTCAGTAGTCTTATACTATATTGGACACAATCTGAGAGCGTAGCATTTTTGTTAAATAACTTTTGAAAAGAAATTAATTGTTTTTTTTTTGTTTCAAGAACTAAAATAATCAATATTTGCCGCAGTCAATAGTCGGACAGCATTGAGGTTAATATTGACTATGAAGATATTATATCAAACTATTTAATATTTACTGATAGTTTTTAAACATTTAAATTTTCTGTTCACTATTTATCTTATTATTACAGTAAATTAATAAGTACACTTGTTCATTGTGCTGTATACTCACCATTAAAGAATAAGAACTGCATCGATCTGAAAGAAAAAATAGCAATGAGTAAAATTATATTAACTAGGCATAATGCATAACCTACTGTGTTAAATAACAATTATATTTTTAAATTTGTTATTGAAATATTATTGTCTACGTATTCTTCTTCGGTGAACAGAAGGAAATGTGGTATACCTGTTAATATTACGATTAATTGTCAATGACGAATAATTTATTTCAAAACAATGGGACCCATATGAAAAATTGTACATTTCAATAGAGTTCAAACCTTGTTTGCGAGGAAAAACGAAAAATACAGGTGGATTTCCAAAAACCCAAATGGAACCAAGAAAGGATGTTTAGGCACAACAATGTGTGTAAACAAGGTAGATAAAAGATTTTATGTCAGAGTCGGAAGCACCCTTGTGAGAGATAAAGATACATGAAGAAAAGTATAATAGAAATAAGTAAAAGAACTACTTTAGAATTTTCGCACGGTCCAACAGGGTCCATTCGTAATTAATGAAATTAAATGAAAAATCATGTATTTATACAAGCAAAGTTAGGGCCAAATGGCCTTTCTTACACCTGTGATAATGAACTTAAAAGAGCCTTTTGACAATTGTTGATAGCAGTTGGTTATTATATCTCTTATTAAACGGGCGCACATGAAAAGAGCCCAAAAACTCAGTCAGACGCTTGAAAAGCGCCCGGACCTCCAAGGTCCCTCCCAGGACGGTGCGAAAAGAGTCCGGGCTCTTCCTAGAACTTTCACAACGAGTCTTCAAAGGAGAAAGAACCAATAACAAAGTTGAAATACATGAATTTATCTACATTATTAAAAGATACACTGTTAAAAGATACATTATTAAAATATAGATTATTAAAAGATATTTATTAGGTTTATTAACCTAACCTAACCTAACCTAACCCAACCAAATACAACACAATGGCAGAACACGAGACAGCGTCCTCCTCCTCCTCAGGTACCTGTGGAGACACGGGCTCTTTCCATGCTTAAGATTAGTGAACCTTTTTGGGGATTAAAATTTCGGGCTCTTTTCATGTGCTCCGTATTAAACAAACTAACTAAGAGGGTGTATTTAGTAACCAACCGGACTCACAGTTAAAATCCTCACGTGGATAAGGTTGAGACAAAAGCTATTTCAAAGCACGTTCCGTAGTTCTAATACGTGACCTAAACGAACCATTCTTTGGTCAGCTGATAAAGTTTACACAGGTTCATAATCTGACAGCTTTAATAACTTCCTCCTTAGTTCAATACCGAATGCTTTATTGTTCTTTGAGTATATAATTTAGCAATAACAGATGAAACATTATTAAATGAAGTTCAACCGAAGTTTTTGCAGTTTTTGATGTATATTAATTCGGCATTGATTGATTACGAATATAAAAGAATTTTGTTAAATTCGTAAAAGAAACTGCTGTTGTCACTAGAGGTGCATATTAATCGAGAAAAATGTGCATGTTCATCAAATATCTGGTTTCTTAACAAGGATTTTAAAGCAAAACTATCTACAAAACTGTTTTAACGACAAAACAACAACTCATGAGTAACTCAATAACTTGTATGATGGACAACATTAATAAAACGTATCCAATATTTGCCAAGTCCGATTCATCAACGTGACATAGAGCGTAGTTGGTAGTACAGTGTGACAATAACTACAGCGTTGTGGTTGACTCAACCTGACCTACGTGACACTGAACATAGTGATGGTAGTACAGTGTGACAATAACTCCAGCGTTGTGGTTGACTCAACCTGACCTACGTGACACTGAAAGTAGTGATGGTAGTACAGTGTGACAATAACTACAGCGTTGTGGTTGACTCAACCTGACCTACGTGACACTGAACATATTGATGGTAGTACAGTGTGACAATAACTACAGCGTGGTGGTTGACTCAACCTGACCTACGTGACACTGAACATAGTGATGGTAGTACAGTGTGACAATAACTACAGCGTTGTGGTTGACTCAACCTGACCTACGTGACACTGAACATATTGATGGTAGTACAGTGTGACAATAACTACAGCGTGGTGGTTGACTCAACCTGACCTACGTGACACTGAACGTAGTGATGGTAGTACAGTGTGACAATAACTACAGCGTGGTGGTTGACTCAACCTGACCTACGTGACACTGAACGTAGTGATGGTAGTACAGTGTGACAATAACTACAGCGTTGTGGTTGACTCAACCTGACCTACGTGACACTGAACGTAGTGATGGTAGTACAGTGTGACAATAACTACAGCGTGGTGGTTGACTCAACCTGACCTACGTGACACTGAACGTAGTGATGGTAGTACAGTGTGACAATAACTACAGCGTTGTGGTTGACTCAACCTGACCTACGTGACACTGAACGTAGTGATGGTAGTACAGTGTGACAATAACTACAGCGTGGTGGTTGACTCAACCTGACCTACGTGACACTGAACGTAGTGATGGTAGTACAGTGTGACAATAACTACAGCGTGGTGGTTGAACGAACCTGACCTACGTGACACTGAACATAGTGATGGTAGTACAGTGTGACAATAACTACAGCGTGGTGGTTGACTCAACCTGACCTACGTAACACTGAACGTAGTGATGGTAGTACAGTGTGACAATAACTACAGTGTGGTGGTTGACTCAACCTGACCTACGTGACACTGAACGTAGTGATGGTAGTACAGTGTGACAATAACTACAGTGTGGTGGTTGACTCAACCTGACCTACGTGACACTGAACATAGTGATGGTAGTACAGTGTGACAATAACTACAGCGTTGTGGTTGACTCAACCTGACCTACGTAACACTGAACGTAGTGATGGTAGTACAGTGTGACAATAACTACAGTGTGGTGGTTGACTCAACCTGACCTACGTGACACTGAACGTAGTGATGGTAGTACAGTGTGACAATAACTACAGCGTGGTGGTTGAACGAACCTGACCTACGTGACACTGAACGTAGTGATGGTAGTACAGTGTGACAATAACTACAGTGTGGTGGTTGACTCAACCTGACCTACGTGACACTGAACGTAGTGATGGTAGTACAGTGTGACAATAACTACAGCGTGGTGGTTGAACGAACCTGACCTACGTGACACTGAACGTAGTGATGGTAGTACAGTGTGACAATAACTACAGTGTGGTGGTTGACTCAACCTGACCTACGTGACACTGAACGTAGTGATGGTAGTACAGTGTGACAATAACTACAGCGTGGTGGTTGTTTACCGGAAATAACCAAAATTTAAAATTGTCTATTCAAGATGGCGCAAACTTCTTTGATATGATTTATTACCCAACACATTCGCAGCCATAAATATTTTCTTTCTGATCATTCTAAGCATTTCAAATCCCTGCGATTTCACCTGCCAATCTGACAAGAGATAATAAACTCAAATTTTATTCAACAGGACCCTCCTCATGTTTCTGCTTATCAAAACCTGCATGGACCGTAACTCATTATGAAACCGGAACTGTGAATCACCATACTGTACTATCACATCACTAACCTAGCCAATGTATGTTTCAAATCTGGTATTAGCGTGCTATATCTATCTAAAAAAAAAGACTAAAAATATAACTTATCACTAGCACCTTCAATCTTAGCTAGGTCTAGAAAGCGTGATCACATAGATTAAATCCATTGGTGATTTGCGGGATTTGAACCCGGGGCCTCGAGGACGGAGGTCCCCCGCTCTACCACTTGATTACTATCTTATAAGGCATAGTTTCTGGCACCGTAAACGCATAATCGAAATGAAATAACGTGTTTGAATAAAATAACTGTGCAAACTAAGCAGGTGGATTTTCTGCTTGCCGTGATTAACACAGCTGTTAATGTCAACAATGGAAAGAGCACGTTCAGTTTGCTTGGATTTGGTTATTGTTTAGTCTTAGTTACTTGATTAACTGTGGCAGGCTTCTATAAATAAATAACAGGCGTTTCGTGCTTCGAAGTTCGAACTGGGTCCGTTGTGACTGACTGTTAAAGAAACTTTCTCAACCTATTAGGCTACGACGGGTCAATAAATATTTGCCATTCAATTAAGAATACAGGGAATAAAAATAATGAAATTTGGTGGTTAATTAAAGTTGGGCCAAAGGTATATAACTATTTTTTTATTAATAGCTTGTTATTACGTTAACTCTATAGTAAGTAAAATAATTGTAAAACTCAATTGTAAACATTTTAATATATTCAACCACCAAGCTAAGGTTTTCGCGAATTCTTCCTACATTATCTAGCAGAATTTGATGACTGGATTATGTTTTTCCTTTAACTTTAAATAACTTACCCCTAACAAACTTGCGGACTGAAAGAAATTCAGATGCTTTATAACAATTATTCATAGCAAAATGAAATGTATACATAGATCCCAAGTATGAATATTAATGCTCCTCGAGTAACACCTTTGAATATTGATTTTTCAGGTGATTCGGTTTATACCTAAGTTATCATGTGTGTATACTACCACTTGTCAAGTCAAGCTGTTTGCCATAACTAACCAATCAAATATATCTTTGGCAGAAATATCTTCCCTGGTGTTCCTTGAAGTGTCTAGACTAAGGCCCCCGCAAACTCCGTGGCGAGGGGCCCGACTCAGGAGGCCAGACGAGAAAATAATGAAGAGTTGGGGCCTATTGGAAGGTGTTCAAAAATTATCAGTTTTTACAAAAATGGAAATGTTAGTGTAAAAATGATGTTCGTGTTTTTTTTATTGTTTGTTGACGTTCACAAGCAAATTCAATTGCATGTTTAACATTCCAAATGAATGTTTCTGGTTACCGAAAAAGCAAAGAATGCAAATTTTAACTATACCTAAGTTAATTATGCTCCGTTATTCGCAAATTGCCATTGAAATTCCGTGAACATCAAAAAACCAATACCAATATAATACCAATATAATATTTCGTGAGGTATCAAATCCCTAATACCAGTAAACCCCCAAAAGGTTAGTTAATTTGGCTAGATGAGCTCAGCATCCGAGAGGAGATAGGACAAAAAAACCT